ACCTTTTGCCCACCTGGGCACGAAATGGGTGCGAGAATGGGCCAAAAAACGAACCGAAATGGCCAAAGTTGAAAGGGAGTCAATGGCAACAATAAAACGGAAAACTGGAAACGGGAAACGCGAAAATTTCCCAACGCCACACGAAAATTATTTTATGATGCTTTTAAACTAATTTTCTGGAAAAACAACGTGCAAACGGATTTTCCTTTAGCCACCGTTAGCTATGGCTGTTGTTGTTGTTGTTGTTGGGGGAAAAACTGTTGACTGAGGACGCGTGGGCACGTAAAAATTTTTATTTTATTTGCCAGAGCCGGCAGCAAGCACATTTTTGAAGTGGAACGCGTGGCGGTCGCGAGCTGTGAGTTTTGAATTTTAGATGCAGCCAGCAGGAGCAGCTAACAGGTAACAGGTAACAGGTGAGTCCTTCCGGCACACTACACACTCCCTCTTTCTCCATAGTTTCTCAGTCACGAACTAGTCATAAAATTAGCGTAAAGGTAAGAGAGGCCTTGGATTCGGAATATTACTTTTGCCTTGTGCAATTATGCCGAAGACACTTTCCGTTTTTGCCCGGCCATCTTTCGAGGCCATCAATCTAAATTACGGCATAAAATTTGCCGCCTAAGCCGGACTTTTGTGCAATAATAAAAATATTTTAATGCCCGGCGACAAATTGATTTATCTGACAGTCTAATCAACTTCGAAGGGGGATTTTGATAGATCTGTGTGGCAATTTATGAATGGCACAAAGCCGCAGCTGGAACGCTGCTTCGAGGAAGTTCGTTCTGTGGGCCTAAATTGACATGTTCTGCCCAATAATGAAGCGATCAGGGCCAAGAGCCTCCTTCTGCAGCTCCGTCTTTGGCCTCTATTCATAAATCCCTTCTTCCTGGCGATTTGTCAGCACCAGACAGGCGACATTGACAATGTCAGTTTAGCCGTTTTTGCCAAGGACAAAGGACACTTGTGAGGCGCTGCAGGTAGGGCTTGCCTCGTTATTGTCAATCCATCTTCCAGCATCGCTCTCTCCAAGTATTTATCTGCCAGATACGAGGTATCTTACTCTGCAGCCTTGGCCTTTTGTCCGGGCCTGCTCTTTTAGCCATCTTCTGTTTGTTTTTGCAATTGACAGACGCTGCCAGACGAAGGCCGTAAGCGTGAGCATAATTATGGTTTTCAATTTATTCCAAGAACCCCAGCACACACACTGTGTGTACGATGAGGTTTCCACAGAATCCGACCTGCTGTTAGCCCTTTTTGGTAGGAGTTCCTAATTGAAAGTGTCATAAATTAGGAATGAACTCAGAGTCAAGTTGAGTTGGCTGCTGGTCCTGCTGCTAGCAGCAAATATATGGAAATTTTGAAGGGCTTTGGTCTGTGATTAGCTTCTAACATTTATATATGAATTATTTATTTTTGCAGAGAAGTCTTAGGGATTTCGGTATTTTTGAGGAATTTAAGAAAATACACATTTAATTACAAAGCATTTTTAAATTTTCTTTTTAAAAAGATTCATATTTTCTTGTTTATTTATTAAAATCACAAAACTCCTATTCAGAATCCACCTTTATATATTTTCTAGTCTTTTATAAATAACTCAGAAGGTAAGCAGCACTCAAAAAGCAAATAAATGATTGTCGAAAATAATGTTTTTAACAGAAGGGAAATCCATATGTCTTCTCTGTATAATACCCCTTAATTCACAACTATCACTGCTAATTCCTCAACTCATGCCCTCCTCTATTCAAGGCTGTTTCCTGAATAAACACAGCAGCAATTTCCTGCATTATTTATTTACTTTTAAGTAGTCACTCTAAATGCATTCATAATATCCTGCCTACCCCCAAAACATGAACATCATGCTCTAAAAAGAATATCCTGCCATAAAAAGACAAACAACTAGAGGAACTCATTCATAAATCAAGGGCTACAAGTATTGTTAATTTTCGATACATATTTTTTTGGGGAAGCCTGTGAAGTGTTTATTGGAAAAAAAGTGCTTCCTCATGGTTGTTTTTAGGATAAATATGGCACAGGGAAATATGATAGGCGATAACTTCGTTCGAGGGACAGCTGGCGCAATGGAGTATCATATCCTTTGGGCTTGCTCCGCCGCTCTTACCTAGAATCATTCCCCAATAAAGTATAAACCTACCATAATTTCCCGCTGCCAATAAGAATGGAGGGGTAGAGAGTAGAGCATTTTCACATTTTCACCTGAGAGAGACAGAGGAGGCGGCGAAGTGGAAGAACGTGTTCGGGCCATAAATATCAATTAGCCAAGATAAAGATACTAAAGCGAGCCACAAGCTGGGGAGAATTGGAAAATAAAACTAATTGCAGCGGCTAGCCGGTGGTCTTCGTCTTCTGTCTTACCAATATTTATCTGGCCAAAGGAGAGGAAGTCGTAAAATTGATAAAGGCGATGGACCAGGGCAAAACCTACAATATATATACACCGATTTCTCGAGAGAGACTGTCACTAAAGTGCCGGGTCACGTTCAAATGTGCGGCAAATGTGACTCACACAGGAGAAGAATTTCCCGGAGCTCATCGTTCTATCAGCCAGATAAGCCGCTACAAATTTCGATGACGCAAGTGGAAAATGGAAAACTCTTCCTGCGGCAGTCGTAGTCCCTCGTAGTCCCTCTAATTTGCTGCTCACTTTGTTTGATGATGTGACGACACATGACTCGCCGGCTCTTTGAACTCGGCCAGCGGCAGTTTATCTTCTGCATTCCCAGTCTCCGGCAGAAGTTATCTCCGGACCCGGCCGCCGACTTGGACTCGACCTCGGTCTCGGTGTGGTCCTTATCTGCGGCGTGTGCTGCTGCTGCTAATGAGCGTCTGCTGGTTATTTGCATTTGGCTTAGTCAAACAGGCAGTTAGCAGGAATGCTCTTTGTTTGAAACCCACTAAGATTTCAGAACTGTCAGTGCGGTAAAAAGGTTTTACTACTTATCACTGAGTAAACCAAACCCTGACCTAAGTTAGCGTCACTTTTCCGTTTACTTAATCGTATCTAGAACTACGACTATAAGAGGTTTACGGCTGGAATAATCTGACAACGACCCAGTTTGATAGGAAATAATACTATGTAGCTAGCGGCTAATCTTCGAAATCGAAAGGGGTTTCAATGGCCCTCGCTTAATGTTTGTTTAGGTGTGGCTAATCTGGGGGAGGATAAGCTTAAACAGAAAAAGACAGTAAGAAATTAGGTATATATATTTGCTGTAGTTTTCCAAAAAGGGAAAAAAACTAAAAATCTTTAATATAATCCTAGTAAAATTTTTAAAAATGCAAAAATTAATTAATTATAATTACATAACTTTATTCTCTTTTATTTAGCTACACTTTATAGTAACCAGCAACCTTTTGTTAATATTTAAGCTAGAAAATGTAACCAAAAACCAAATTGAATTAGAGACTCTGGCAAATGCATTCGTTTTACAACTGAAATCATAAACAGAACCGAATGCTGCTTAAAATTTCATTACGCGCACTTAAGCGGTGTGATTTTCCGGGTCTGGTTTGGGAGGGATTTCCCTCTTCCTATTTTGGCAGTGTTGCAAAAGGCTCGTAAAATCCGCAGTAGCTGCAGTAGTAGCTGGGTAGAACCACCGCAGTGGTGACACATCCACATCCGCATCCACATCCCACATCCACTGCAATGCAGCTGGCGAAATGTCATCAGCGCCTGGATTTTATGGCGACGCCAAAGGAGAATGTATCTAAGCTGCAGTCTTGTTTCAGGTTTGGGGTTCTCGGTTCTCGGTCCTCGGTTCTGGTTTCTGGCCACCGTGTTCCTGGTTGCTGAGTCTCTGTTTTCTGGCTCCTAAATTCGGCTAAAGCGTAAAACTTTTATGGCTGCCGCAGCGCGTGGAGTAAACCTCCTCCGTCCTCTTCTTCCGTCCAAGTCGTTGTCGTAAATAAATTTCTGGCCGTAATTAATTTTGCATGCCAGTCAGCTGCTGTTGAAGCTTCCCGGGCGACAGTTAGCTGCCTCTCAAGTGGCTTTTTTCGGGGAACTTCATAAGCTGATTGTGAATGCCACACGCCATTATGGACGTTTTGATATGCCAAATGTGTCGCTAAATGATTTTTATTTGCCGTTGCTCATACGCACCGTGGTCGTGCCGGGTTTTTTGTATGCAAATTGTACCTTGCCAGTGACGCACAGCAGTGACGGTGCGGTGCCTCCTTTGCTCAAAAATTGACTTTGCAGTGCAACAGCAGCAGTCGGCTCATTAGTGAGTCTGTTTGCCATTGTGGCTGTGTTGTCTGCTCTAACATTATTTATCTGGCATTTTTAACACTTGCCACGCTGACAGTCACTCTCTGGCATATTCTGCGCTATTTTTTTACAGAGTTTAGACTGTTGAATACCAAGCTTTTTAAATTTATAAGTCAATGAATGCTTACATGGGATAAGATTCTTTAAAAATGTATCAACCTTCACTGGTCATTACTTACTTTAGGCTGCTTTGTAAAGGAAATATTACTTCCTTCATTTAAATATATTTTAAATACCTATATTTAATATATACCCCCTAAACTCCCCCCAAAATACAGGGTATCAAACTCTAGCCCCGGCTAACAAGTGCAAATTTGTTTGCTGCATTGAGACGGGCACAAAATTTCTCAACCTTGGCTTCGTGCTCGCCCTGTTTGCTTCATGTTAATTTCTGTTGATTTTACGCGTTAGCTGCTCGGCTGCCCCGTCGTGTGTTTACTGTAGCTACAGTACAGTACATACATATATATTTGTATCGGGGCCAGGTCGCAGCTGTGTGTGAACGGGTCCAAAGGGGAGCATGGCTCAAGTAAACTGTATCAAAGGTCCTCCTAGACTATTTTATTTTTATTAATTCTAATTGGTAAATTAACTTCAAAATTTAGCAAGCAGCAGCCTTTATTTAGTCACTCAAATATTTACCTATGTTTGAATTTGTGAAAGAAACTGGTGTTATTGCGGAACCTTTCAAGTATCAATCAGCCAGATGGATCCCCGTAGAAGAGACCATTTAAGGGCAAAGTTCTCCCGTCGCGTGTACTTTGCCTTTGTGATCTTTCTGGCAATTGGCCTATTACAATGGGTGCTGATCTCTATTCTGTGGGTACTGTGTTATCACGATCCGTAACAGAATCCTATAACGACTCCGTTTTATAGACCGGCTGCTCGTGAGATATTCAAAGACTTTGGAAAGTGGTGCTCGATCGCATTTTGCCTGGCTGCCCTACTCTTTGGCGTGTTTATATTCCGTAGTAATATTCGTAGCCACGATATAGGGAAGTGGGTGATAGCGGCAGCTATAGTAAGTTGTTTATAATTAGGTTAATTAAGTTTTTGTATTTATTTCCTCTAGGTTGAGCTGTATGTTTTCTCAATGTACGTCCTGGCGGCTAGAACTTGGCTGCCTGATCTCTTGGTTTATTTCTTCATCTGCATTTTGGCCATGGTTGTGGCCTTGGTTATAGGCTGTAACCTTTCGTATTCGGTGAGCTAGTCAAGTTACTAGATAATATTTAGATCTCTAGTTAATCCTCGAACGACTCTAGATGGATATGACTGAGAATATTGCTCCGATTTTCATTGCAACCTATATTTTAGTCTCAACCTCGTTGTACCCACTGTTGTTACACCTGTTCGTGGTGAATGCTGCGCCTTATGGCTTTGCCGCCTTCGATATTATTCTCACCGTAGTGATGCTGTTGGTGAGATTTTTCTAAATTTAATTTCATTTAGTTCTATAGGTGTACTTTTAGCTGGCGATGCTGCATGCGCAGACCATCCGAGGAGATCGCTTTATCAAAATGAGCACCGATGACTGCCTGCTGGCTGCCTTGCTACTCTTCCACGAATTTCTTGCCATTTATGCAATGACTTTTTTTTGGCAAATTAACTACCATTTTTTCACGCCAAAGGACTTTTTCTGGAGGTCAACAAGTACATCAACGGCCTCGATGAGCACCACAAGGAAACATCATGGCGGGGGTCCACCAGTTGGTATTGTTAAATTGGCAGTTAATATCAGAGAATTTCATTTCACAAACACATTTTGAAAGAGTTTTTTATAGTTTTCGTTAAGATTTCTTGAAAAAGAAAATTATATTTAATTTTTTACTTTACAGGTTTCTGGCCTGTTTATGACTATGGATACGATTACGAGTATGGCAAGACTCCTACTCCTAGATTTTGATTGTTTCGATTCCGTAAGATGATTTAATATTGTCTATAAATTTTCTATTAAATAAGATAATAACTTACAGGCTTCCTTTCCATTGAATCAAGTTAGCTGTGAGCTGCCTATTAAAAATTTTATTCCCATCTACACAACCAGTCAGATGCCTTTTCTGTGGCTGTAAAGGATCGCTGGCAAGTACACAGGACAAGCCACATATGACACATTTCGGGCCCATGGGCTACGATGTACGTCTGGGACGATCTGGTCGCATATCGAAGGGCGCGGAACAGCTTTTCGGGGAAGGTGTATGGGATACTGCTCTTTTGGCTGATTCTGGCCTTCCTCCAATGGATGGTAGTCTCTCTTGTGTAAGTTGAACCTTTGGTAATCTTCTGGGTCTCACACTGATTTCCTTTGCTTTTTTCAGGGAAGATGCACGGAGAATTTTCCGGGAATACTTTTACATTTGCTTGATAGCCTTTGGCCTGGCCGTCTTCATATTTGCTGCCTTTATATTTGCTGATGCACTGCGATATATGCAGGCTCTAAACGCAGTCATATCGCTGATTATCGTGAGTGGCTGCTAAGGGAATATTTAGCCATATTTAATTACAAATTTTAATTACTTCAGGTTGAACTTCAGATCATAGCAACGTTTATGCTGGTCGTCTTCAGCTGGTGGGCGGATGTTTTGGTCTTTTTTCTCATAGCTGTAGTGCTGGTATTTTTATTCCTGCTTATTGGAATATTTTTGCCACGAAGGGTAACGAAAATTGATAATATTCTTTATGCATTTTGATTTGATTTTTATTTAAAGGTGGATCTCACACTGGACATAGCTGTGCTCTTTATCATTGCCTTTATTTTCCTAATTATCGCCGTGTTTTCACTGGCAATCCTGATGTCCTTATGGTTGCCAAAGTGGCTTTTTTATTTAGTGGTTGAATTAGCCGTAACCCTAACAGTCCTGCTGGTATTTATCTTTCGAACTTATTGATAAGTTTTAAATTATTAACCCACCCTAGTTTGTGATATACCACGCCCAAACCATCCATGGGAATCGGTTTGCAGAGATGCGCCTGAATGATTTCTTTCTGGGATCCCTGATATTATTCCACGACTTTCTCATCATTTTCTGGCTAACATTTTACTGGCAAATCCGTTATAGACCCGTTACGGCGGATAACTGGGTGGCGTCCTCGAAGCCCTTCATTAGCGATCAAGATTGGCCGACGACTCCCGTTCCCAAAGCCTGGAAGCAGTGGTCAGGAGGTAGGAAATTATATGAAATAATAATTATTACTATTAATATGTGTTCGGTCTCATAGATGATTTAACACAGCCATCCTGGGACGAAGGCAAAGGCGCTGGCGAGGAATATACCTATGAGCCGGATAATGCCAACAACTTGAAGGAGTTTAAGCACAAGAACAAGGCTCAGCAAAATCCGAATATTGACAGTCGAAGTCAGATCCCCAATAGGAAAAAACAGAAAAAGAAAAAAAAGATCAAGGCAAGGCCAACTACAATGGATTGGTCCGTTTTCCCGGCATTTACTGAATCAAGCCATTATGCTGAACAGCAAATCCGAGAGCCTGTCCCATCGGAGGGCGAGGCCAGGCATCCTGGCGTCCTGTACAAGGTTAAACCGATTGACGGCCGCGAATTCCCCGAGATGGAACAACCCGATTTAAATAAGGATAAGCCGGTTGGATTCGACAGTGTATATGGGGAGGCCAAAGGAAAACCGAAAGTTGTGTTTGGAAATCCACCTATCGGTTTTCCTTTGGCCGATCGCCTGGAAGCACTCGATCCTGACAATAATGAATGGGAGGTAGTAGGAGAGGAGGAGCAAGTCAATAAATTCGGGCATTTCGTAGACGAAGCGGAGCAATTAGAAAAAATGCGTCAAGAAAACAAAACTACATTCAAGAGACCACAATTTTTGGGCGATGAAATGCAGGGACTGAATGGAGACATGCAAATACCAGAGTGGGAGGTCCTTACCCAGGAGGAACTAAGAAATCTATCGGATACACATGTACCTTCAGGAAGGGAGGAGGATATAGCCGAGCCACTGACTACAAGACCGTTCTACGATCCAACGGACCAGCCAGAGTTTCTGAAACTGGTAATGAATGACACCACTGTCAATCCTCTAGCCGAGCCACTAACTCCATCAATGTTCGACGAAGATTACGACATTCTATCGAGCCAGCCAGAATATCTGGAACTTGAATTGAATGACACTACTGTTGACAAAATGAGATTTTAAAGACGCTGACAAATATATATATATTATGCATTATTTGGCCAACCATAAATCCTATTTGCTCGTCATTTAGCTTTTAATTGCACTCATTAAAGAGCCCAACACATCTTATTCAACCGCACTTGCGACAGGTGACAAACAAATTAATGTCTCCGAGATTTATGGCCCGCCCACAAAATGGAGCAAACAAAGACCGAAAAGTCAGGCCAAAACAACCTGTTCAATGAACTCTGCTGCCAGAGGGAACACAACAACAACAACAAAAAATCAGAAAAACCGTTTAACAAATTACGGCCAACACACACGTGCAGTCACCATAAAAACGCACCAGTACGGTGGTACTTCGATGCTCCAACACCCGCTACCACTCCCACCCGTACAGTAGTAACACATAGCATATAACACACATTTACTCCGTGTACGAATGCCGACCACAAATCGCTTATCTGCCGGGCAGGCGGAGTGACTACCTTTGCCCGATGATGGGTCTCTGGGAATACTCTTCTTAGCATTGGCTTTGTAGTTTATAAGCCAAGTTAGAATTTAATTTCTTAAAAACAATAAAATTAAGTATTTTAGTTGATCTTATTAGCAGAAATTCTATGGGGTTTATTAAGCTTTCAGAGAAAGGTTTTTAATTCCATCCATAAGAACATTTCAGCTTCGGTTTTACCTGCAAATCCACCTTGTTCTCTTGGTCTTGGCTTTGGTTTTTTGTGCATTTTGGGCAAATCATGGCAAGAACGCAAAGCACGACCACGACAATATACACAGACAGAGCCAGAGAGCAACCCGGAGCCACAAGTTCCATAGCTGCTGGTGTTGATGCCAGTCCCCCAGTTCGTTTCGGCTCCGTTGCCCACTCCGCAGAACCGTTGGCATTCCCCTAACCATTGCCATTCCCATTCCCTCAAAATCCCTCCCCTGAATGCCCCCAACTTTGAGGCACAGTCACTCATGACTGCGACCTGAACCAGATACACGATGCACGATAATATAATTTATGGCCCTGCTTGGTGTTTGCAGCTCCTCTGCCGCGTTATGGAATGTTTGATGTTCCCTCGTCCGCAGTCCGACTCTGCCGCTCGGACTCATCAACAAATCGTACATTTGAATACAAATTGCAGCATTAAAGAGACGGCTGGAGAGGCTTCAGCAAAAGTGTCAAAATTGACATGAAATTATTTATGCTCGCACGAAAGTTGAACTCGTGTCTTTCAGTGTTCCCAATTAGGTTCATCGCCTAAGGCCCGGCCAATAAATATCCGAGACACATTTCTTTTTGGTTTGTTAATATCTTTTCGTATATATTTTTTTCGATTTTTTTGCATATTTAGTTCTCTTTCTGTTCTCTTTTCCATAGTAGACAATATTTATTTCAGTGAGCTTTAGCTTTTAGGTTTAACTCTAGTTAATGCTTCTATTTAATTGTAGTAACTGCAACATTAAGAAACTGTGTTTTGTTTAGTTGATCTTGGTTTTCTTTTTTTGGAATTTAAGCGGAATGTTTGGGAAAGTAAATTCAATTTATTAATTGGAGCTAAAACAGTTGAAAAAGAGGTAAAAAATAACTAAAAAGAGGGGAATCTTCTATCAGCTTTGCTTACAATTTTTGTTTTATTTTCAAGAATCACAATTATATAGCTGATTTATTTTTTAATTATTACATTTAATCTTGATTTATGGCTTTAATTTTGCTCAGCTAAATTTCCCCTTGAAACGCTTTAGTTTTTATTAATTTTTGCTGGCCAAATTCCACTCGAGCAGCACTTAAAAGGGATGTTGAGAAATCCTTTCAGCATTGCACGTTCCCAGGACAATTCCCCAGCTGCAGTGCTGACCTAATCTCGACCAGCCGCATCCCAGTCACGTACATAATTTCAAAACAAAACCAAATCCGAAACCCCAAATGGTTTCTGATATTTGCTACGACCAAGTACGAGTTGCTGAGGGATCAGCAAGGTCAGACGGGGGGTACTTTTGGAATTTGAAATTGAAATGGAAATGTGGGGGAGGAACTTTCGCTTGGCAAAAATAAACTGAAAATTACTAGAAAAAAATATAGAAAAATAAGAAAACACAAAATTTGAATTCAGTTTGCAATCATTTTCATTTCGAGGCGTTTATATTTTCCACTCTCACTTAGGCATTAGGACTTAATCGATAGACAATTGGGTTCTATACATAGTACAATAAATAATACTCAGTCTTGCGTAATACAATAATATAACAGATACTAACTAAAAACGAAACTGAATGGGTTTTTTTCTGATCGTTTCGGGGGGATGCTGCAACTATTTACAAGTGACTAAGCAATTCGGCTGCTGACCCCTGGCGGCCCCCCTACTTAACCCATGATGCTGGCCCGGCAGCCGGGCAATCACGCGGCAACAACAACGACCAATGAGGCGCAATCATCGTCAGCAGCCGCCGCCGGCTGTAAGCTCTGCTCCTGCTCTGGCTTCTCCTCCTTCTCCTCCTGCTCCTGCTGCTGTCCATCGGCCGGGATGTTAATGCAAATGGCAGGCATGGCTGCGGCCAAGTGGCACGATGGCAATGGCAATGGCAATGGAGATGAGGATGCAGATGAAGCTGCGGAGGATTCCGCTTTATCCTCCTCTACTGGCGCTGACAGCTTGCACTTTTGCCGCTGCCGCTGCAGCTCGTCCTTCTCCCAATTGGAAATGCAGGCGGACTGCTGGTGATGATGATGATGCACGGCTGCCAGCGAGGGATACACAAATTTCATGCCGTAGGCAAAGTGACGGGGCTGATGATGCAGTGCCTCATCGTAGCTGGGCAGTCCGGTGGCTATTGTGTAGCACGGCGGCGATTCGATTTGGTAGAAGCCCGCCTCACCACTTCGCTGCTGATGATGATGATGATGATGATGGGGATGCTGCTGGTGCAGCAGCAGGCGGCTGGCATCGCAGCTGACCAGGTGCGAGGAGTACGAGTCGCTGGTTGCATGGATCTGGGCACGTATGTCCTTATCTGCAATAAACAGAGAAAACGGAGGGAGTTTGTTAGTCGAGTTTGTTGGCAGAAAGTTTCTTTTGTTCGGGCTTAAACAGGGAGAAAAAAAGGGGGTAGAAAAGTTGGCCGTTTGATAATGAACTCCTGAACCTCATGAACTTGAACTGGGGATAACTTATTTTCTTTCTGTGTAGCCCAATCAGCCATCAAAGTTTCGACTCTCTGTCATTACTTTGTTTGTCCATGTCAAAGGACATTTCGTGGGGGTGAAGCGGAGAGCCCTGGCATTAAATTCAATTTAGCGTAAAGGCGCAAACGCTTGAACTTTTCCGAATGCCAGAATGCACAGCGTAAAAAAAAAAATACAGCCAGCAAGCGGAAAGTTTTGTGCTGACCGGAAATGCCGGCGAGGAGGCGGACAGGCAAAGTTCCTTCGCAGCAGACTGACAGCCGCACAACGACAATAACAACTAGGCAATAATATGTCGGAAGGGCGCGCGTGGCCTGGCAGAATGGAATGAAATAAAATACCCATACACACACACATGCAGAGCGGCTGCAATGAAATAAAAGCTCGTCGTCATCCCCGGAAAGTATGCAACAGAAGGCATTTAATTTTTATAATGCCGCAGCTGCTGCTCTGCTCGGCTCTGCTCTGCTCTGCTCTGCTCGGCTCTGCATGTTCTGTTATTTTCATTTGCAAATTAAGCTTGAGTTGAATTAAGATTGTAAATTTCCATATACTCTAAGCCCCGGCCATCGGGGAATTTAATTTTGGCAGCTTTTTGAGTTACGCCCTTGATTAAAATTGCATGAGGCAATAATTTGCCTCAAATAGAGGCACAAAAACGATGCTGCAGCTGCTGCTGGTGGTATTCTGTGTTATTAAATGCAATTTAAACTGCATTCAATAAATAAATAGGGGATCGTCTGCCAGGTTTTTTGTCCAATTTAATTTGAATGCTGGACATTTTTTTAATTGTTCAACTCTCCCGAAAATAGGTGTATTTTTCATAACCAAAAAAAATCCTGTGTTTTTTTTAATTAAAGCATTGAGCAAGTCAGGGAGGGGGGTAAAAGCCTGTTGAAAAATTTGCGCATTACAATATTAAAACGCAGCGGTAGCAGAGAAACAGTCAGCAGTTCCGCCGCCTGGCAGCAGTTGTTGATTTATTGTTATAACTGCACACATATATCCCCACACTTTTTTCTGTTGTTTTTGGCCAAAAGTCTCCACACACACACACGGAGGACTTTTCCTCTTTTTTTGACTTTTGTTTCCGCTTTTTTCTCGCTGCCCGTTTGATAGACAGCCGGCAAACAGGGCGTTGGACAAGGCAGAGGGGCGGGCGTGGCAGCAGGCTTCATATTTTATGCAAGTGTTGAACAAACAGGAGCCCCTGCGAAATTTCCACCGCCTCTCAGCCACTCAGTCTCAGCCTTTTCGAGGATTGCAGATGGACACAAAGAAAGCAGGAAAAGCTGAAGAGCAGGAGGTGCTAGGTGCACGGAAAATAAATACTAGGGGGAATTATTTAACAAAGGTGATTTTAAATAAGAAATAAATAGATTTTAAAGGATTTTTTAAGCCTTTTAAAATCTCTTTTAAATTATTAATATTTATATTTGCTTTAAATATTCTTCCTTTTTAATTATCTCATTAAATTTGCTTATTTCTTTCCGTGTAAATGACAGCACAAAAAAATTAGCACTCGATTCGTTGGTGCTCCTTTTGTTTTTCGGCTGCGTTGGCTCTTTGCCTTCGTCCTTTTTTCCCCGCTTTTGTGTGATTCCCCCCCAGTTGCTGCGCCCAAATGTATGCAACAATTTAAATTCATCGCAATAAGCCGGCACTCTCGAATGGAAAACTGGCAAATGGAAAACTCCAAGAGCCTGTTTTATTCCTTGTTGCCATAAATGTCTGTTAATTTTTTAACGGCCACAACTATTCGAACGAGCAGAGCCTTTTTTATTTAAAAATTATTATCATTGCTTTTAAGCTGCTCTCAAGTGTTATTAAGACAGAGGATATTGGTTTTTCTTTGTTCTATGTGTGTGTGTTTTTCAATTTCTTCACACAAAATGCACTGCCATTAAAAGTTTTGCACCACTAAACGCTGACCGGCAACAAAACAATTTGGTTAATTACAGCACTCAATTTGTGTTTGCCAAAAAACAAAAAGCAAACTAACATATTTTTTAGCAGTTGAAACAGCAGAGCCAACTTCTAGTTTTTGTGCGCCATTAAAAATTGAAAAGGGCTTCCGGCCAAGAGCAACTTTTTCTGGTCTTGGCCAAATATGCCACGCTTAATTACATTTTTACGCAACTGAATTATGCAGGACCCCATACAACATGATAAACATGGGATAGAGACTGCCTTGGCTTTAGCTTTGACTTTAATTTAGGAACTCACTGATAAATTCTGCACTAATTGATAACCAGCCAAAGTCTCTCTCTCTCTCTCTCTCTGTGTGCGACGGTTTAATAAATAAAGTGTAAGCCCGGTGGGTAATAGGTAACAGGTAACACGTAACTGGCAACTGGCAACTGGGCCAGCAGACACTCTTGTATCTGGCTGGCTGTTTTGGGCCTCGTTAAGTATTTATAAGGTAAACACTGCGAGAGGCCACGTAGCCGGCATTAAATGCACAAAAGCCGAGACGACTCGGGCCTAGGCAGTTGCTTAATTATAAATGACACACGTACTCCCCAGTATCCTGGCCTATCCCTGCCCTATCCCTATCCTAGCACTTGGTATCTATGTAGGCCAGATCCGCACGGGAGGCAACATAAAACCAGGCTGGAGAAAAAAAAAGCACAGAACACGACACTAACGAAACTAATTAGACGCATTCGACGCACACACATATCGCTCAAATTGATATTTTAGGCATAGCATATATACCCATATAGTGTGGGCCCTGCCTTTGGTCGCGTGTCGTAATCGCAGGGCAAAGTTTTTAAGGCTCGTTAGCACAAAATTGACAGTTTGACAGTTGAGTTGGCCAGGCTTTAATGCCACGGCCCTTTTGGCCTGAGACAGGAGACAAGGAGGAGTAGGAGTCCTGCGAAGAGCAGTCCTGTGTTCCTGGCCAAGTTTGGTTGGCCTAAATAAATCATTTGGCTAAATTGGTCTGCAAAAAGTTTGACACTTGAGTCGGAGACTTGTTAGTCGTGTAGGTTGTTTTAGCCAAAGCCCTTTGCCTGGCTCCTCTTCTTCTTTTTGCTTCCCTTCAATTTAGTTTGGAACTGGTATATAGGTTGAGTTTTTTTTCAGATTGGTTGCGTTGTTGTGGTCCCATAATTACGTGTAAAGTGCCTAAACATATGATTTATTTTGGGTTCCACAGACTGTTGATAGGTGCAACAGGTTCGGGGCAATTTCCTGGCAGATAAGATATATATTTACATGGGCTATATTTACACGGAATCGGGGTTGAGTGCGCTGGCGGGTAATCTATTGGTTTTGGGTGGCTTTTGGCGATAACAGTTTGTGTCAAAGCTTGATTGATTCGGGATTTAGAACGAAACTGGTGGGGTTATCCCATCAAAGTTATTATTATTTTATAAATATTTTTAGATATAAAATGTTCTTTGTACTCTTCCTAAACCATCTGCCTCACTTGCTTATGCCCGATTTCCCTTGACTTTAACTACACAGCTGAGTAATATGGTCCATCATTATTATATTATATTACTCTTTATCGCTGCGGCCCACAAAACGAAACATATAAATATCAACGCACAATTTCACGCCTTTCACGCTGAGCAACAAATTTCGGGGCTCAAAAGCGAGGGGGTCGTGTGGGTCGGTTCTCTGGTCTCCGACTCGAAACATTATCGCTATCATAAAGGGGCCACAATGCCGCTGGCAAAGGCGAGTCAATTTAATATTATAAATATGCGGCACATATATTTTGTGGCATAATAAACTTGTGTATCTAAAATTACAACAGAACGATGCAAAAGGCCAAACGGCTGGCTGTCTGCCTGCCTGACAATTTCGAAGCGCGCCAAAAAATTTATGGGGCCCTGGAACCCAGAGTCCTCCTCTAAGGGAGGACAGAGATTCCTCCGCTCCGGAGAATGTTTCTGTTTCTGCATTTTATATTGTTTAGCCGCCTGAATAAATGGCCGAAGATAAGGCTTTTGATTAAGGTTTTCGGGTGGGGGGATGGCCAACATAAAAGCCAGATGTATGGCTGTTCTGGTATACTTACTGCATTTCTTCCAAGTGCGGAACTTCCTGTAGAAGTAGCAGCTAAACAGGATGAAGACCAGAGACAGGACAACCAGCGAAGTGACCACTCCAATCCACAGATAATTGATGATCACATGCATGTCTGCCTCGCCAAAGATCTGACTGAACCAAGTGGATTCGCTGGCATCCTCGGATCTATCCCTCAGATCGGCCAAGTCCAAGACCACCGACTTGGACAACTGTTCGGTGCTGATGCTGCCATCCGGCGACCAGCCACTGGGCGGTGCCGGGTCATAGTTGACCGCCGCGTTGCCAATCCGCTGGAGCAGGGCATTGAACGAGTTGAGGGCGTCAATGTGGCGCAGGTCGTGGGCACTGGGGATCTCGAAGGTGATCTGGTTCTGCTGCAGGTGCTCGGCTATGGCCGCGGGACTCATGCTGCTGGCCGGAGCGGCTATGAACTCCGCGTACAGCTCCTCCGCTGGAGTTGTAGTCTCCACAATTGTTGGGTAATCCGTAGAGCTGATCATTTTGAATTTTATTTTTATGCTTTACTATATTTTGGTTTGGAATATATATTTGTATATATTTTTCTGACGACTGGCACAAACACTATCGCCGCACGACAAACACGTAAACAAATCGCACTGCTCTCTATATATAAGTCATGGGCTCGATTTCGATTTTCACGATTTTCTTTATGGGGCTTTCCCGCTCGTCTTTCGCTGCGTCCGTTCGCTGGAGCGGCTGTGGGCTGACTAACTCTCGCTGTCCAAGTCGAATGCCTATGTTGCTTCTCTGAGCAGCGAGAGAATCGGGGATATTTCCGCCTGGCACTCAAGTCGGGCTCTCCGCTCTGCGTTTCTCTGTTTCTCTGAGACTCTCTCGACTGAGTGACTGAGTGAGTGAGTGAGTCCACTCGGAGGAATCAAGTCAAGTTGCGAGTTAAAGAAGCATGCAATTTCTGGCATGTCTTTTATGTTTTTAAATGTTTCGCGTCCTTTCAGTCCTTGCCTGACCCAGTTTGGCTAAAAATAACCAAGAGAGAGAGATGGGGACTCCTTCTTCACCTCGGTCACGTTCGTTGTTTAAAGTTTTTCACAGTTTTTCCCAGTTTTCCCAGCATTTTTACCCCACAAATTGCTAGAAGCCAAAAGTTTCCGTCTCTGATGATTTTAATGAAAGCCAAAAACCCGGGTTATATGTGCCACTTGATAAGCTGTGAGTTCAGCTAAGAATTATGGTTGTGCCAAAGTTTTCCAGTCGAGTGATAAATTAATGGAGAATATGTTCAAGTTTTTGCCATAATTTAAAGTCTCTTTAAATATCTCATGTTTTAGCCACATTTTACCCTCTGAGACTCAGTCAATATCTCATGTTTTAGCCCAGTTTTAAAGCAAAAACTGTAACTGGAACTCCAAATCTCAGTTATTATGAGTCCCTCGAGCGTCAGGATGCCGCAATGCTTCCTGCTCTGCTTTACCAAAAATAAAAAAGGACCTAGAAGAAGCAACAAGAGAGGGGAAGGAAGGGATCCTGGCCACAGCACGCTTCATTTGAGCGCATGCTGACCATAAGCCGGCAGCAGGAGATGCACAAAAGGCTTCTCGGACGACACAAAAACGTGCCAAAAAATATTCTGCTCAGAAAGTGGAACAAATGCAACCCCGAGACTCACTCGAAATTCCACTCGAAAACCAGTTTTGCTTGTTTTCTACTCAAAAGGGAAATTCTCTCGCCAAGTGAATTTTCCTCTCGGCTTGTGCGCACTCCCTCTCACGAATTTCCCTTTCGCTCTCTCCGCTCTCATTTTCCGGAGCATAGCGACACGAAAGTGAGCAGTCGCCGGCAGTCGCCTTTGAACTGCGCCAAGCGAAAGGTCACACAGACACCCACTCTGCCAAAAGGTTTTCCCCTTTTTCCGTACGCAACTCCAGGAAAAGTGCGCCTTGTAATTGCCGCGGGAAATTGAAATAGATGCCCGATAATAAGCACTTAGCTCGAGCCCAAAGTCACTCGATAAATGCATTAAAAAGTTTTCCCAGCCGCCGAAAACTTTGACGCTGCCGAGACCTCTATGCACTTTGGCGAGCGGCAAGCTTATCGTTAATTAGCTTTCGACTAATTCTGAACTTGAGCATAAGTTTTAAACAGCCAACTGCAGCGATTTTAATCGATGCGTGTTTTGGCATTAAGGGAAACTTATACTAAAGGAAAGAGGTTGTAAAAAAATGAAATATAAAATTGAAAGGAAAATTATCGTTATGAAATTATCCTCTTCTTTGATAAGCTGAAAGTTTCTTGGAGTCTTGGATTACTTTGCTAGGGTCTTAAATAAATGACTAGGACTTAAACAGTTAAGAAATTTAAATATTTAATTATACCCTATTAAATATATATCTTATCCAAAAATAAGAGGAATTTGACTACAAAGAGATTAGTTTTAAAAATTCTATAAATAGGTCAGGAAATGTAAAAATTCATACTGTTTTTATTTAGAAAAATATTTGGAAATCCCTTTATAAAAGTTAAGAAAAATTAACAACCGATTTAAACTTGTTTTTAATATTTATTAATTAATTTATTAAGATTTCAATGGGGAATCTGAATATACACAATTTTTATGGTAAAAGCTAAGTTTAAAAATATCATAACTAAGCCAAAAAAGCATTTATTTTAATTCGGAAAGCTTTTCTGCGCTAGTTTTTATTAGGTTAATAAATCTGCATACTTCATTTAACATTTTAAAAAATTCAAATTTTATTCGATTTTTGAAAATTTTAATGATGTAACCCCTTATAGAATTTTGAAAAAATTTGAAAAAAAATCTTTTTGGTCGGACATGGCTTAATCGACTCTGCAGTTGATGCTGATCAAGAATATATATGATTTATAGGGTCGGAAATGATTCCTTCACTGCATTTGACTACCACTACAATACCCTGGGTATAAAAATACATTGAAATATTTATATCCAAAATTACCCTATAAAAACACAAATAATAAAGTTTTTTTGCATATGCCCTTTTTATATAACCCTTTTCTGTTATGCAAATACCATAAATTAATAAAATTCCAGTTGATTTAAGTATTTTTATCCCCAACATTCAACTGAGCTGCATCACAAATATTTTCATGCATTTATTTAGCATTTATGCCTTGAGCTAAATAACATTCTAAAACGTTCAACATAATCAAATTGTTTTCTTTTGTAAATTCCACACAAAAAAAACGAAGATGAACACACACAATTTGATTTGATAAAATTCCCCTTTGTGCCTTCGATAACATTTGTTCGCATTTCTCGTTTCTGTAATCCAATTTTGATGGCAATGCAAATTAAATTCGCATCACTTGACTTGTCGCATTCAATCTGCCGAGATGGAGAGTCAGTGCTAACCCACTGATTTTCTCCACTTTCCCGACTTTTCCCCGGAAAAACAGTAGATGGGTTTGATAAACAAGTTTGCACCTCTTTCATTTGTGTGCAGCGAAGGATAAAAACCTCACAGACAGCCAGGAGATTTTAATATGATTTCTTAGAAACACACACAAGTACTATATAGATATATATGTTTATGAAATATCCTGCATTCTGCACTCTGCCTTTACAAAATATATGTGTATAGAAGGACACACATGCCAGCGCATGCAGATGCTCTGTAACACCCGACTAAAAGTAAATTCATTAAAAATTCCATCATAAAAATACCTCGGCTGCTCACGTCAGCGCCCAAAAAAAAAGAAGAGGATGCAAAGACTTGTATTCTTTTCACTAACTAACTAAAAGTAAACCATAAAACAGACAGGATGGCAGGGGCGGTTAGGCGACAGAGGAAGCTATCTCCGTGCTGGCTGTCCTTTGAGCAGGACTCGTTCCGCCTTCGTCTTATCTTGCAGCTTCCATCACACTTCACTTACATGCTCTTTAACATGTCAACATGTCAGGGCTGCTGCGCGAGTTAGTGTGTGTGTGTATTGAAGCTGGTGTGTGTGAGCGGGTGTGCTAGTGTGTGACATAGTGACATAATAAAATGTTACTTTAGTTAGTAGTTTAGACGTCGAAAGCACCGCAAAAAGATGCTTTTACCACAGTGGCAAATGCGGCGCTAAGAAACTTCCATTTCTTCAAAGTATTTTTCTTGGGCTCTAAAAAGTGCAGTTCGGGTGTAATACTTGGTATAAATGGAAGTGGAAAATGTCTGAGAAAAGAATATATTTAAGTTTCTGGGAATTTATAATTAATTCGATTTTTTTAAAGATAAAATTTCATATGATTTAGGCTTTGGAGTTATACTAAATATGTCTTTTATACAAAACTAGAGTTTGCATGAATTCATTATTGAACTTTTCACTTAAAATAATTTTTAGAAAATATAATGACTCAATCTTTAAATATATTTTCAATTAAATATTATAAGAATTTTTTATTTATACGTTTTTTTAACTCCAAAAAGACTGTATTCCCAAGGAACCTCTTAACATAAACCCGTAAGTTAAACCCCAAATATTTACCTTTTCCCTTGATCTAATTAAGACACATCAATATCTGCTTATAATTATGTTTCCCTCAGTAAACAGTCCCCTCCAATCGTATTAATATCCTGTTTAACCCAGGCAGATATTGTTGAATTTGTAACAGCCTCTGAATAAACAACGAGTTGCAGCCGAGTTCCCTTTCAATATTCAAATCGATTCATCAGTTCCCAGAGCAGGCCACACGTAACATGCAAAAGTGATTTGCAATGCGCCGTGTATTCATGCCATCAATGGCAAATTATGCATTTAATGGCCAGATGCAATTAGCAATCGGAAGGACCTTTAAGGACCCAACACACACACACACGCACACGCAGGCATTCCGATTGCCATCGCTTGGCGTGTTGGGCATAATTGCCCAAGATTAACATAAATCAATCAAAAGGCATAAAAGCACCTTTGTGCGTTACCTTTGTCAGCGGAGTTGCATATGGTAAATGCCTGTGAAATTGCGCAGAAAGTTTTGTGAGCTCACAAAGGATATACAGGACGAGAAGTGAAAGAAATGCAAACAATGCGAGGGAAGAGGAGGAAAAAGGAGTTTGAGGAGCGAAGAACTCAGTGCTAAGCCGTCCGGGTAAACAAATACAATTGCATAAGTCCTGCTGCAGTTGTTGTCCTTCTTGCTGTTATTTTTCTAGTGTTACGTGTCCTTCTTTTGTTGTGGTGTAGGCACTGAGGGAAATATTATTTTATAAGAGAATATTTTTTGGGACTATTTATAAGTATTTTTTGAGGATTTTTTGCAAAAGAGTTTAAAGAATAAAAATTTTTAATGAAAAATTCAGTTTCTATATTAAATAAATAATATTTTTAATTTTAGCGCTTATTTAAAAGAAATTACTTACATTTTATTAATATTTTTAACTCAGTTTTCTTATTCTTAAGACAATTTTTTATTCTTAGATATTAAAATATGGCTTAAAACTTATAGAAACCAAAAAATATTATATTAAAATATATATTTTAAATATTAAATACAAATTCCTTATTTTAAATATTTTCTTTCCTTTTAACTTAAGTTTTTTTTTGCTGTGCCTCTGGCAGATATATCCTGCTTATGTATATGCAAGTCTGTTTATCATATGTGCGCTTGATTAGCGCTGACAACATATGCAGGCAGGCATTGCCAGACATCAGGCCGCAGGACCGCAAAAAGGACTGCCAACAGGACTCTCTCTGTTGACAAACAAAACAAACAAGTGCACAT